AGTTAATTATAAATCAATAAATTTTTATATTTACAAATGGCTCCCAAAAATGTTAGTAAACTTATGACTTTTATTGAAATAGAGCTCATTAATCATAATGAATAATTCAGAATGGGTATTAAATAAGATTAATCATCTACTCTTAGCAAAACTGCATGGAATATTTTAATAAACAAAGGAAATTTTTAAGAGATCAAAAATCAAAAAGTAACAAAAATTTTACCTCAAAAAGTCATTGTACATTTAAATGTTTACGGATTTCAGAACAAAAATTATTTTGTTCCACTCCACTGTGCAGTATGTGATAAAATGCGTAAAAGAAGGACGTTCTATCAGTGTGATCACAGATTAAAATTAAAAATTTGTAGAAAAATTCCTACATTCACATTTGAGTGTGGTATAATTTCTGAAAAATTTAATACAAAATATTTTGCTCAAATTTTACTGACAATCTTCCACGAGTTCTCAAAACAGCTTGATAAAATGAGTGTTCTACCAGCAAAAATTTTTTAATTTAATAAAAAAAAAAAATTTTTAAAAAATTAAAAAAAAAAACAGAAACTTCAGGCTTTAAAGCAGAAAAAATGATGAAATTAATCCCAAGAACTTAATTGGAACAGTAAAGCATAGTGATGATGTCCTTGCGTGTTGGTACATATGAACATCAGGATAAGGTAATTTGGAACTTATTGATGGCATAAATGAATCAACCAGTTTATTTAAATATTTTAAGATACAATTTACAATTATCAGCCTAAAATTCGGGTATCGGGAAATAACTTTGTTTTATATCAAGATTACTAACATAAGAACACGCCTCGCATCATTTGCGTCTGATGTCTCGATAATTGACCACAAACTTTTAGCACACCACCTCGAGTGTCATATTTAAACCCAATGAAGCATATTTGAAGAGAACTGGAAGTTAGAGTATGATAGCATGACATTAAAATAAAAAATTAATTAAAAACAATAATGGTGTCAAAAATGAGCTTTCATACAGGGAAGAAAAAAAAAAGTTACATTTGTTTACAGACTTTTAAAAGCTATTGTAGATGAAAAAGGAAACTCTAAAAATGTTATTTTAACGAAAAATTTCAGGAAAAAATTGAGGAAGGAACACACTTTTAGATTTTAAGTATATTTTTAGTGAATGTTTACCAATTAAATGCACTGCTTTTCCACTCGAAATGGAAGCCTGACGGCTGCCTGGTGACTGATGTCCCAGTAACAAAAATACAAAAAGATGATTATGAGAATGCGTAAGCATGAAGCTAAGTTTGATTCTATTGAAATAATGAACAAAGTAAAAGACTCCTATTGCATAAATATAATGGTTCCTGCAGGCTATAACTAAAAATCAAGACTAAATATTTTATAAAAAAGATAAAATTGTAAAAAAGTTGAGTTTTCCGTTTGCTATTTCTAAAAATCATTTTTGCTTCAAAAAATTTTAATAAATTCACCAATATAAACTTCACTTCTAAAGAAAGTGTAACAAGAGTAACCAAATTTTCTGTAAAAAGAGCAACCAGGAACTTTTCCCATAATAAATAATGTTTGTATTTAAAACTTTTTATTGCTGTCATTTAATAAGTTGTCCTTCCTTTCATAAAATTAAGAGTCAATATATTTCAAATTCACCATTCTATAACTATTAAAATTTATCAAGTCTTTCTTGCATAAATATAAAACAGAGGTGTTCGTTGCTTTTCAGCAAAAAATTGCTTAATTTAATATAAAAAGTTCATGAGTCGATATGCAACACCACCTTAACAACATTGTAACAACAGTAACCATGCAATTGCCCTTCAAACAGTACAAGTGTTCATATTTAAGTTTAAATAAAATTTTATTCATCTGTCTATTTATTTAAACAATTATGGTACATAAATTTCATGAATGCTAAATCTATTATTTACTGTTTTATGATTACACCAATTAGGAATAACAGATATTTAATGCGAACAAAGATTGTTTCAGATTATAATTATTATTTATTTGCATTATTTTTGCTACATGCATTCACTTATGTCTTAATGCATTTAATTTATGAAAAACATACTATCTTCAATTAAAGAACAATAAATGAAATGTATTTATTTAAAAAAATAAATAAATAAATAACTTTTTTCATTTCTGTAAAAATTATTTAACTTCACTTTTCTCAAAAACTAGGTATAAAGTCATCAAATAAATATGAATTTTATTTATTATGATAAATATCATAATAAACAAAATACATAAATATGTGCTTACAATTATTAAATAAGATGAACAGGCATTTTTAAATGCACAAAAAAGTTATTGTTTATTTATTTACTTTTTCTAGGGTAAAAACTTCTCAATCCCTTTTAAACTTAACATGCAAAAATATTGAAAATATTTAAGTTAGTAAATATTTTGTATTTGTAACAACAGTCACAAAAAAATTTTAAAATTACCCACAAGTGTTTTTTCCACGTTTTCCACTCCCAATATGTCATTGCATGTGTACTTTCAAATGTTTTCTGTTAGTTTGAAGTTTTATTTAAAAAAACTAATAATAAATTTAAAAGAAATATTTTTTTTTTTTATTGCTTATGAAAATAAAAATGTTTAAGCCATGTTTTTTCTATGTAACAAAATTCACATTCTATATTTTTATTCTAAATAAAACATATATAATTTTTGTTCCTTTTTCTGATATACATTATATTAGGTTATTGAAAAACTTTCCATATAATTTTTAAAAAAAAAATAAATATTTATCAATGAAAAAGCTTTAAAAATAAGAAAACCTATTATAAAGAAAGTAACGTTAGTTACCATGGTAATATCCATAAAAACAAAACCCTCTCTATTGTTATCAAAAGAAAAAATCTTAATAATAATTTTACTAACAATAAAAATATGTTGTCTAAATATGAAATAAAAAATCTACAATTATTTTACTCAAATATTCCTACTTTTTATATACCAAAATATAATTACATACCATAAATAATACAAATAAAAACTATAGTATCTGAGAAGTCTATAAAAATACAAAATTTCTATGAACCAAGCTTAATTTTTAGGAGGTCAACATATTATGGTATGAAAAGAACAGCTTTTTGCTTTGATATGAAATGAAGCTTTACTTGAATATTAGATAAAACTTACAATTTTTTTTATGCCATCGCAACCAGGATTTGTAGACCCCAATAAACTAACTTAAAGATCTTGTAATATTTCTGAAAATTATTCCATCCTTTTTTTACATAGTAATTAACTTTTAACTAAAATATTTAATTAAATTTAATAACTCTTCTTTGATTCTTGATGCTAGTAACTTTTTATTACGCCTTTATTACAAATATCCACACTTATTAATAGGTTATAATTATTTCAGCTTTAGATTGTTTTTGATTTATAAACATTTTTGCATTATAAATGCATAAGTACAATATTTAAAATTAAATTAGCAATATGTACTACTATATGATATACATCACTAAATTACAAGTTTACTTTTACTGCTGTCCAATAAATTAGACGATAAAATTAGCTTCATTAACTAATTAAAATGAAAATCAGCAAGGATGTAATTCTCATTTTTATTTTATTATTTGCAATATTACAAATAAAATTAATCAAAACTTATGCTACTGAAAGAGTAATAGCACATTAAATAATTATAAAAAAATAAGCAACTATTATAAAAAGTATTAAATTCAAGATAATTTTGATTTTTCAAGAAAATTGCTGAATGACTAATTTAGTTTAACATACAAAATCATTATATAAATAAAAATTATTATAGTAATAAAATTTTAACAATAGGATTTGAATATTATATACAAATAACATAAGAATATCTATACAAATCAAGAAATTTTAAGAATCCTTGCTTTAACTTTCATGTATTGGAATAGAATAAATATAAATTAGCATTAAAAATACCTCTCTAAATTATTAAAAGAAAAATATTTAATGATATTTTTACTAACATTTAAAATACTATATATATTTAATAACTTGGTTAAGCAATAAACAAATACTATTATTATAAATAATAATAAAAAAGACTTTAAATTAATTTTAAAAAAAGGGCCTAAAGAATTAAAAAAAAATTTTAATTAAATTCTTAATTTTTTTTCTTGATAGATTTAAAATTGATTAACTTGGTAAAAAATTAATTTAATGTGTGAAATTTCTCTACCATTTTCACAATTGCCCACAACAAACAGATCTTCAATATATTTAAGGCATAGAATTAAGAAAATTACTAATCAAGATGCACAAAAATATAAAAACATCTTCATGGAACATTTAACTCTTACTAGTTATAAATACAGATATAAGAGAAATTAATAACAACTAATATTTACGTTTTGAATTCCCATCTTCACTTAATATAAGAATTAAAAAACTCATTTCAGATAATCAAAATTATTCACAAGCGATAGCAGCGCTATTGATTATTTCACTAAAATTTGAAAAACTTTAAAATTTAAGAAAAATCAATACCATGTTATGATAATCGGTAATTCACATTATTAAAATAAATATAAACTAGATTCAAGTAATTTTTTATTAACAAAAACGAAAAAAAAAATGGCAATCATTTGCAATATTATTTATAATTTTTTTTTAAATACAAATTTTTATCAAAATATCAGATCATGTCGTTATTAAATAATATTTTCTCCCCTACATTAGGCTTAAGAACATTAGTGAAGCAATGATACTGGTAAGATAGCTCCTTAATTTAAAAAAAAAAAGTGCGTTAAGATAACATAAACACAGCGAACGGAAGTGTCAACATTTAAAGAAAGAAAGAAAAAGCCCATATAGTGATAGTATCTGAGTATACTTATTAGAACTACGAAGCCTCTAAGGGCCTCTAGAAACATATCAATAGCAGAGCAAATATGATGGCAACCCCATCTTTCATAGAGTTCCATCATAACGAATTTTTTAAAAAAGTGAGAAATATCTGAGAAAGAAATTTCAAATGATTAAATTTCATTATTTACCTTTTGTAATCCTCCCAAAGCGATTACTTGATTATACAATTTTTGTAAATCAATTTCTCGGCCATTGATCTTCGGTAGTTGTCGATAAGGTGTCCTGTAAAAAATTTAGAAAAGTCATATAAAAATCTGAAATAATATTAAAATGAATTTTAAACAGGATCTTTTGAATAAAAATTAATCATAAACTTACCCTCTATTTTGATGAAAGAGTTTTAACTCATTAATAAAAGCATAATAATCTTGACGACTAACATCCGGTTCCTTGTGCAATTTCTCCATTTTTAAAACACACTATTGAATGGATTAAAATTGTCAAAAAATACACCACATATATACCGTTAAGGTAAGAATAACGGTATAAATAACAGCCATACGATCAGTTCTCAAATCAAGCATCAAGATTTGTATAAAATGAAAGACACCTTATTTCAACTTCTTACAGCTACTCTCCAAGTTACTCTAACAGAATCACCCAAACCGACACGCAAGCGGCTACAGAATTCGGATACTATATTTGGCGATTTATCTTTCTCAAAATCAAAACAATGCTTCAAACAATTATAAAATTGATCGAAAACTAACGCCAATGCTTAAGACATGCGCAATATCATTATGCTATACAACGTGATATCATAACATTTGCTTTTTTAGTTGAAAACTGGGAAAATAAAGGATATTTATTTTACGGAAATTTCACTCCAAAAATGAATGCTTATGCACATTTTCGTATAATTGACTCAAATAAAAGGATTATTTCATTTATTATTTGAGAAATGCATACATCATAAATAATATTATACAAATCGATAATTATTTTTCTAAAAGCAGGACCAATGCAATATAATGTAAATTCAGTTATTATATTTTTAGTTAAACAAAACCCTTAACTTATGAAATCACAGAAATTTAATATTATTGACAAATGAAATCAAGTATATTTAATACTAATTCTTGAATTTTGTAAAATATTTAATTCAATTTAATTTTATGAAGCATTCAATATTTTTAATTTGTGAAATAAGTAAAATTTTATAAAAATAATACTTATTCTAAAAACAGTAAAAATGCAGTTTATAATTATTTTTTTTACATTTTTTAATATTAAGACAAATTATTTTATTTTCTAAATCACTCACAACTATGAGAAGTAAATTTAAATTTCATGTTAGGGGGAATATTATTTAATATTTGAAATAATATTAATAATTTCTTTATAAATATATAACGAAATGAGCTTTGGTTCATTTTTAAATATATATATATATNATATATATATATATGCACATTGCCCTATAGTAATGGAAGAGACAATTTAATTTTAATTTTTTGACATTCTTTTTAAATTTCTCAAGAAATACCAAGAGGATTATTTTGTGACCTAAGAGGTGTTTAGTTCGTGCTATTTTCATATTTGGCAATAAGATTTCAAGCTTTCAGAGGTTTAGGGACCGACAATAAATTACGAAAGTAAACAAGTATTTTTAAACATCCTATGCCAGAAAATCAAACAATAAGCTTGCAATTTATATCGATTGCTTTGGTTATTATTTGCACTAACTGCTCAAAATTTTGCAAACTTCGCTTAAATATTTCTGGAGATATAGACATTTTTATAGAAAATAAAATTTTAAAAAAATATTTTTGTCTCACGTTTTTTTTTTTTTTTTTTTTTTTTTTTTTTTTTTTTTTTTTTTTTTTTTNTTTTTTTTTTTTTTTTTTATAACGTTAAAAATATTTAATAAAATTAAACAAAATTTTTTGATCAATTTAAAATTATTAAGAATTGAATTGTTTTTGAATTTTTTTTTTAGAAACTAGCCAAGATACGAGTATTCTTTTATACCGCGAAAAAAATTTAAAAATTTTCTTCATAATTTTGTAGTTAATCGCATTTGACAATTAGTAACAAATGGCTGATTTGAATATCTTAAACATTTTAGAAGTTTCAAACAATTTTATAAGTAGCTTTTGTACTTTTTAAAAGAAGGCTCAAAATGATAAGGGGTTTTCTACAAATTCATTTTGTAATTATGAAACAAGATTAATTAAAAATGACAACGGCATAGTGAGGGATCATACCTCATAAAAATATGTACTCTTTCTCATGTTTTTTCCTTTATACTATCAAATTTTGATGCTCGGACGATTATTGTAAGGAATTATCATTTATCATTAATTTTTTTCCTATACAAGATGAAATTTTTGAAAAACTCCTTATCATTTTATGCTTTCCTTTAAAAAGTACAAAAACTACGTAGAAAACTGCCTAAAACTTTTTAAATTTTTAAGATATTAAAATCAGACCTTTTTTCTTTATCAGTTGTCAAATGCGATTCACTACAAAATTACAAAAAAAAGTTTTACGTTTTTTCTGCACATGCGTAGTATAAAAGAATTACTTTAAATACTCATATTTTAAGCAGATTTTATAAAAAAAATTCAAATTTAAATACAATAATTATGTAATTAATTTTAATTGCTCCAAAAATTTAGTTTAATTTTATTGAATATTTTTAAAACTATAGAGAAAAAAACGCGGGACAATAAAAATTACTTTTTTTTTATATAAATGTTCATATTTCCATAAATATTTGAACAAATATTTCGAAATATTATGCAGTTATTGCAGATAACAACCAAAAGCAAACAATACAAGTTACAAGCTTGATTTTCTGCAAAGGGTGTTCAAAAATACTTGTTCTTTTTTCCCCGCAATTTATTGTAAGTCTCTTAAACCCCTGAAAACTGGAAACCTTATTGTTTTGTAAGAAAAATCACATGAACCTCTAAAGTAACAAAATAATCCTATTAGTATTTCTTGAGAAATTTCAAAACACGACAAAAACTGAAAGTGTCTGTTCCATTATTGTAGGGTAGCGTTTATATGGATATAAAAGTATGAATAATTTATTATTATATTTAAATACATATAATGTTAAAAAGTTGAAATTTCTCTATTTTAAATATGAATTATTGAGTTTAAAAAATTCGATACATAATCAAAGAGTTTATTTCAAGAATTTCATTCACTTAAATGCATAATCATATGGAAAAGGTCAGAATAACTATGATATTTTAATACAGTAATTAACTCCAAAGATGTTTTAAGAATTATTTGTATTAAATATTGAAAAAAGCGCGCTTTGTTCAAGTCTTCGGAAAGAAACATTACTGAAGATGCATTCATTCTTTCACCTAGTCTGCAGTTGAAATAAATCTCCTCGAGAGCTCGACTTTAAAATATATTCACCGAATCCTCGCGAAATATTACTCTTTTTAAGTTAGTATTAATATCAATTTATATGTATATTAAGGTATTTTATTTAAAATTAAATCTCATATTGACAGTTCTCATAACAGTTGAGGAAATAAACTTTAAAAAATATTAAAATCGCGCAACAAGCAATGTAAGAAAAGAGCTAGATGTCTATTTCAATTTGATAAACATCTTAATACAAAAAGATTCTTTAAAAACTATTCTAGAACTAAGATAATATGACAAATGTTGCCTGGATTTTATCTGCATATAATTTTAATTAACGTTTCAAATGAGCAAAATAAATTTGAAATTTACTTACTTTTTCAATAGTTCAATCAGATATAGGCTCAAATGCGTCGAAATGTGATTAATTAAATTTGCGATAAGTTGAATAATTGTCACATGATTCTGTTCAGTTATACTTTCGTCTAGCTGACCTTATGGCCGGATGGTTAGCGTGCCTGAGGCGCTGGTCGCGGGTTCGAATCCTGCTCAGGGCATGGGTGTTTCTTTCTCTCTCTGTGTTCTATGCCCTTGTGTGTGAATGTGACCCGCCCTATGAACGGCCTTGTGGTTGTGTGACGTGTTCGACGCTACTCCACTGCCGTGAATTCGCCACAGGTGCCCACTGGGTAACGAGAAGAGAGTTTGTGACTTAAGTTCCAAGAATATTTGTTGTGACTCATATTTACTTTATATCGACTTTGTTTTATTGAAGTTACGTGTATGCTGAAACGCCTCACTGAACTTCCATACTATACAGAAGAGTTATATACAAGGCAGGCGACTAATCTCTTACAATTAAAGATCGCAATACAGTAGTCATAATAATTACAATCAATGGTGCTTAAATAACAGCCTTCTTTGAAAAAGAACTAGTTTCCGTAAACTTGTTTGTCGCTACATTACCGCAAAATTCTTCAAATAATCGAGCAAATATTTAAATTTTATTATTATTTATTGGATGCTTTTTCCATCTCTTTTTAAAATAGGCTTACATTTTCTTTAAGATTCAAGTCAAAAATTTAAAATTTTACAGAATTTATATTACCAGAGGTTTTTTTTTCAGGGGGAGGTTTTTTTCAGTTTATGAAAAGGCAAAATCTTTATCATATATTTAAAGGGATAAACAATCACTAATTAATGTGCGTTTTTTTTCTTCAGGAATTCAGTTGCTCTTATAGTATTAATTAAAGAAGAATAACTCGCTTAAAAATTATTGCAAATATCTTGCTTAAGATATGAACTAATTATAATATTATCAATAAAGAATAATATTTTTAATAAAGATCCTACAGAGATAGTCAATGCTATTAAAACAATACAAAAAATAGAAGTGTAGTCTAATTTTATATCTATTTTCCTAAATCTTCTCATACGTACTTTTAGAACATGATCCGCAGATGGTGTCGACTTATGATGGCTATTTAAAGCCACTAAATCCATTTGACCTAAATTGGGAGAATTAAAACTTGTTTTCTCCAAATTTGCTGCTTTAGACAAAGCCATTTTTCGCAAGGAAATAGAAACTATAAATTATTTTACCAAAATTGAATTAATCTTATAAAACATTTTGATAAAAAAAAATGCACAATTTTTTGTGGTAAAAGAAACCTGCTATATTGTTTTGATATTATAAACTTTGAAAAAATTGATTATAAAATAAACTATTGGAAAATAAAACAGTTACTACGCCAAGATACGATACATAGCTAAATTAGAAGCGAGAAAAAAAAATTATTCAGTTATATCATTAGGTTTGCAGTTTTCTTTGAATTGACAATGACAACTAAAATAATATGTTTATGAAAATTTTAGACACAAATTATGTAAAATTTTGGCGACAAGAGCAAATTAAAGATAACTAATGAAATTAAAGCGAATTATAGATTATATATACAATAGCTATGTAATAAATATAGTTAAAATTCTGTTTACGTGGGAAAATGGTATTTCTCTACTTGTTTACTTTGGTCCTACATTATAAACAAGTTGTTTGATTTTTTGATATATCAAAATTAAAATTTTTTAACTTTAGAGCAGTGGATTCCAACTGGCAGCCCGGGAGCCTCATCCGGCCCGCGAAGCCTTTTTTTGTGGCCCGTGAACTAAAATATATTAGTTGTCATTTTTTTGCGGACAATTTTCGTAAAAACTCTATAGGGGTTTAAAATACTTTTCTCGCTAATAAAAACCTAATTTCTTCGTTTCTGTGAAATTTATCATACCAACGGTGCAAAAAAAATCCTTT